AATAATAATAAAATTTAACATTTATTAAGAAAACTTTAGGTTCTTGAAACTTTTTATTTTTTGATTAATTAATTAATTAGTATTCCTACAATTATTATTCCTGAGGATAGCTGCACCAGATCGAACACACGTAACAGTTCGCCTTTCACTGAGGAATTTAGGGAAACTAACAAAAGCACAATCATTGAAAGTGAGCAAGGCACTCTTTTGTACACTCTTAGGGAAGTTGAAACTCTTGCCTAAGGACATTTCTAAGATTCGGAGAAGGTTCACTTCGATGAGCTGCAAATCCTGCTCTATCTCAGAAAAATACACAAATAAATAAATTTGACTTTCAAAAGTTTTAATCTTTTGCTAACAATCTGTATTTGTATTAATGTAGATGAAGATACATGTTTGACATAATTTATACCTTTTGTAAAATGCTACATAATACCTATATGCACCAATAATCGTGAATGTATATGGTTATTTACAGTATAAGCAGAAATATATATTAAATTACTTTCTTTACAAAAATCATAGAAAAAGAAGGAAATACGAAAAGTTTACATTAGAAACTTTTCCCTAAACATGTCTTTGTAAAAAAAAAAAAAAAAAAAAAAAAAAAAAAAAAACTCCTTTATATACTTTTTATCAAAATTTCGGTATATAGTAATATTATCCAGAAACCTGCGTAGTCAGAAGTTAATTTCTCTAATTGCGTTGAATACAGTTTTATGCAGTGTATGAAATCCTAACAATACCTCACACTTTCAGACATTTTCATGGCCAGTTTATTTATTTATTTTTTATCTAGTTATAAGAAATTAGGCGAGGGGGAAGTGATCGGAATGATGCAATTTATTTTGTCCTTCCCAAATACCAAAATTGGAGAATTCTTTTATTCCTTATAGTTCGTTTATATTGCAATAATGTTGCTTATTTGTTAATAAAGATGTGGTAGGACACCATTGTCTGCTCAATGTTGTTTTTGACGTCAATATTAATAATATTCCTAAGTCGTTATTAAAATTTTTGCTGTTAAATTGGCAATGGATAAAATGTGCTCTAAGTTTTTCCTGCGTTTTGAGTTTCAAACATAAGCATCTGAAATAAAAAACATTTGGTATCTATACTTCGAAATCTAGAATTTTTATTCCAAAAGAATCTGGATACTATGTGTAGTTCCATTGGTACGTTAAAATAAGGAGTTTGATATGAAAAGCTCCTGCTTCACTCTCAAAGAAGTTCGAAGCAGCATGTTAAGATAAAAGAAACACTATTTGCGGTATTTGGTAAATAAAGAAAACAATGTGCTTCTTTCATAGGATAAATCAGGAGTGACGATCTGCTTCATGCTAGACGTTAATGTTTTCCAACAACAAAAGAACTCAGATTATCAGAGCATGTGCTGAAATCAATGTATCGCTGAATTTCAAAAATTAACTTAAATGTTTCACCTTTCTATAATGATTAGATTATTATATGCTTCTAATATCTCAGTAAATCCAAAATACGATTTTAAAGTAATATTTTATTATTTAGTAATAAGCTATTCTATTAACTAGAATGGGAGTTCTTCTAGAATTTCCTAATAGCTCTAGAATTCTAATAGTTGTTGTAGAATAAAAGGAAATGCTTTATTATACTTAAGCGAAAATCGTGAACACGTGCGTGAATTTCTTACTCTTAGCACTAAAATTCTTACAGTGTATCGAATAATATTAAAAATTAGGTCTTGAATGTTGCAGAAAATATTAATGTATCACGATAAAAAGACACCAGAAATTTCAATCTTGTATTTCTTTAATTTTTTAAAGTTTCTTTGACAAATATGCAGTTTTTTTTTAAATTTATGAGAAGAATTGAAAATATAGAAGTTTGCAATTTTCAACTGCAAATTATTTTATATTTCTTTCTACAAGTAAATTGCAGTATAATTCAAAATTTCACGAAATTAAACTTCAGAAAGTAAGAATATTGGAAAATCTGTATGAAAATCATTTTTCGATTTTAATATTACAGACTGCGACTGCCATTAACATATACTATTTATTATTATTATTATTATTTATAATTCTCAACTTTTAATTATAATCCTTCCGAATTTGCAAGAATTTTGTATGTCATGTAATAAAGAGGGATGCATATTAAAAGCCGGCCGATTTCAGTAAAAGGTGTCCGGGTGTTAATTTTCACTTTTCTACTAAAAAATTTGGCTTTTATAAAACGCTTACAACAAAACACATGATAATGACAAGTATGAAAGGAAGAGTAAAAAATATCTCCATATACAAATTTAGTAATGTAGTGAAACCTTAACTGTAGGAATAAAAATTGCATAAATAATCTCTCGGCAAGAAAATTTCTGACTGCTATTTACAATTTTTGCATACATTTTGTTTCTAAAAACTTTTACTTTTGTGTTCTACAAATTGTTGCTCTTCCAACATCCTATAAGAGTATTTAGTTATTTTTTTTGCCCAAAATCTTAAAAATAATTTCTAGTTCTTTAGAGCGAGATGAGTAAGTAACATTCTTTATAGGTATGCTTTGTGTGTACATCTTTGCCGACTAACTAAACTCCTTATATGCGTTTAGCAAGTTCAAAATTCCCTTTGTAATTATTAATAAACCTTATTTGTCCTTTACATAATATTTAGATTATATCAGATTAGGTAACTGGGTACTTCGTTTGCGAAAAAATACTTAAGGGATATCTACTTAATAAATAAATTCTTCTAAAGAGAAAATGAAATGTTTCGCATTTAAGTTGCAGGTTAACACCTATTAAGAACATATGTTCATTATCACGCAAAGGTACACATGCCGTCATTTTGATTGTGTTTGCATTTTTAATGTTTTTTTTATATACTTTACTTTTTAAAAACATCGTGAGGCAATATAAAATTAAAGAACATTTAAATTAACAAACAAAGATTAATAAACATGACTGATAATAAATGTATTACAATTTTGAAACTTTTGCAAATTTCCTCAGTTCCTTTACTCAACCAGTGTTGTCAAATTCGGAGTCAAAATCGGTCAAATTGACCCGATGTGTACTTATAGGTGTTAAGTAACCGCTTGTCACTTCAATATTTGAAAGTATGCTTCAGAAAGCAGCATTTTGCAACTTAGCCATTCGGTACTTGAAAGCACTAGGTTACACAGGAAACAGATACAGCTTTACTAAATAGCAATAATGGAATCTGATTTTGTAGTAGTTTTTCTTTATAATTTCGTTGCTTGCAAAGGGAAACTCTGGCTCTCTTTGTGTATGAACAAGATAGATTTTTCTAACATCTGAACATTTATAGCATAAAATAAACAGGGGAGAAAAATTTATAAATTAAAAACATCTAGCTAGCAAAAAAACACGAACACGATTGAGACTTGACGCCGTGAAATACAGGGAAAAAAGAAAATAAATAAATAAATAAAATTTAAAAAAATTAACAGTGTATGGAAAGAGCAAAATGAAAAAAAAAAAAAAAAATACTATGGGGAAAGTAGTGAACACATATATTCTTCAGAAAGTATGTTTATGCGATGTATCTAACCAAGTTTCAGTTAATGAATAAGAAGGTGGTGGTAGTGTTGGTGGAAGTAGATTTATGGCGCAAAGCTCAATGGGCCATATGCGCCAAACACAGGATTCTTATATGAATAGAAGGAAAATCTCTCATAAGAGTATACTTCGGTTTGTTCACTAATTAACTGAATTTTCTGAATATATATATTTCGCGGGAAAGCAGATAGGAAGTTTTGATTAATCTTGCAGTTTTAACATCTGATGTGAGTTGGTCTTGTATAAGCATTTTTTATTTATCTAGTATAAGTTTCTCTTATACGAACACATTTTATAAATTTCTTAGTCGAATTTAAAAGAAAGATTACTATCATCATATATCCTCTCAGCGCTTCGCTTGTTCAACCTCTGGTAAAGGCAAATGTCGCAGAGAAATATAAAAAGTAATATTCATTGATTAGATGACGTCTTTTCATAAAATCTGGATAGTAGAAGCGTTGCCTAAAATATGTAAATGAGCATAATTTCCTGATTGCCTTTAAGATTGATTATTTAATAAAAGAGCGAATTCTATTCATAACACTTCTATCCCCAAAGTAAAGAATTGGGCTTAAAGGCTGATTTTGTCGTAGGGTTTACTTTGGAAGAGCACAGAAGAGACATAAAATAAAGTCACAACTGTCAAATGTCAGACGGGTTAAAATAAAACGAAATTTTTACATCAAATAGTAAATAAAAGTTTAAACAAGGAACGAGTCCTTTCCCCGGGAATATTTACTTATCTATTTACTTGATGATAATTTTTGTATTTTTGGCTTTAAGAGACAGTTCTAACAACGTAATTTTTTACAGTGCTGCAGGATAACGTATTAATTTTCATTTTTATATTTTACACATAATACTCATTAGATACATTGCATTAACATGTTATTCTTTCTGCATAATATTCTCATTTATTTAAAATGTTCAAAATGAGCTTCGAAATCCGAAATGGCTTTTTGCCAGACAGTTTTCTAAATTTTCTTTATCAAGAGGATGAGGAAATAAGAAACTAAAATGCATAAAATTAATTTTGACTTTTTTTTGTTTGCATTGTGTAAACAGAGGTTTTCGTTATTTAAACTCTATTTTATTAAGTTAATATTTGAATAATCATGGAACCTGCATATTATAGTTTTAATAAATAATGTGAAAAAATTTAGGAAGCTTTACTAAATCCTCGCTTTCCTTTTCAAAAGTTCTGTAATAACTTATTACATTTTAAACATCTTAAATCATTTAAATCTAATGCTCACAGAAAATTTATACAAGGCAATTTTTTTAGGCTAGATTTTATTATTATTATTATTATTTATACTCAGCTTTAAAAAGAACAAAATTTTACGAATCGTAAAATTAGTAGGGGGAGTACTAGATCATTGACATTTTGAAGATTATTTTTGCTATATATTAAAGTAGAACAGATTAAAAGGAATACCATTCAGACCTTGAGGAGCTGCCAGTCGATCTCTCCACAAAGGATTTACAGTAGGCCAGTAGACGTGTGAAGGTCTTCCTGGTATATCTCCTAGTCCAAGTTTATGCAGACCAGGATTAGCTGGGGAGAAGTACATTCCGGGTCCAACACCTAGGCTGAATCTTGGCAATGTTGCTCCCAAAGCTCCTAAGGTAGGAGGTGATGTCATTGTCGGTCGACTAAGAATATCATTGATACCATGGGGCGTCGCAGATGATGCAGGGATAATTGAGCTGCCGGGTGATTTGACAGTGGAAGGCTGAGTTGTTGATCCGCGGTATGGTCCAAGAGCTGACGCTTTAATCTCTGCCATAGTGTGTAAAGCAGCCAGAGGAGGACTAGCTCCTAATAAGAAATTTTGACGAGATACTGCTTCCATGTTCAAATTCAGCATGGAAAGCATCGAGCTAGCACTAGTCGATGTCGTTGGTGGATTAAATTCCAGCATGTCTCTGTCAAAACTTTAAAATAAATGAGCGACAGTTTAGTAATAAGATGTATGTAAGGAAGTTGATCTGAAATATATATGTTTCAGAGTTGCAGGAACAAAACGATGCATTTCCATCAAGTGAAGTTTATGTTTCATGAATAAAACAGTGATTGTTGCAGATATATTGTAATCATTTCTTAATATTCTGAAATAGTTGTTTATCTCAGAAAATGGTCAGGCGGAGTAAATTCCAATTATCTTTAGAAGTATTTTAAAAATGGTCTAATACAGAAGTAAGGTCTCACTTAAAAAGCCTTACCAAGACGAGGATAATTTCTCTAAATCACTTACATAGACAAAACAAGCAGCCAATTAATCTAAATGAGATCTCAGCTGAATTTTAGAGGTTAGAGTAGAAGAATAAAAAGCGAAGTTTTGTTTAAGACTGGAGGCTAGTAAGTCACATACTCAATCTTTGTAAGACAATTTTTATAATCTGAATTTCAAACTATTGATTTCTCTTGTAAACCCTTTCATTATACTTTCAGATTTAAAAAAAAAAACAAAGAAAATGAACAATATCAGAAGGGAAAAAAAACGAAATTCGCTATTCTATGCTATTTTAGTTTTCATTTTTTTACTGATGCATCTATAGCCATTGCGTAAAACTAACATTCATGTGAAATTTATCTTCAATAACACTTAGTCTTTAAAAAACTAAAGGTAAACAAAAATTTTTCAACAATTCTGAACGCAGAAATGTCGAAATATTTTAATTCTTACAGCGACTGATTTCACTTTATTTTTCGGTCTGTACTTTTGAAATGCTATTAGCAATTCAGTTAAGGAAAGAGATATACTCATTCTTTTACAGTGTAATTAAAACCACTGTCTAATGCTCCGTTAAGTTGTTTTCTTCACATTTTGACACTCGATGCCTTGTTAGCAACAATAAACAGAAGAAGAACATTGATTTATCTTCCGAGACAGAAGACACGAAGTGTTTTAAGTGAAGTGCACTTTATCACTGAGGCGAACATCTTGGTCACACAAACCCACGGGATTTACTTCACAAAAAGGAAACCTCACATTCCACGTCGCAACAAGGGGTACGTTTGAAGGCCGCGGCATCGGCATTCGAAGGGCGTGATCGCCGGATGGGAGGTGGGGCTTAAGTTACTTCTCTCATAGGGTAGTTCTTCGCAGGCGGAGCCAGTCGCTGAAGATCGGTATGCGCTTAGGTCTTGAGCTTTTCTGCAAGGAGCGTGGTGATGGGTTGAAACTGAAAACTTGCTTGAGCGGACGGGGAGTCGGAGGTGAGTGCCTGGATTGTGTTTCTTTTTGCGCTTCTGAATGGGATAAAAATAACGGTAGCGGACAATAGGGGTGACGAAAGAGTCACATTCCGAACTATTTAAGTAGAGTTCTCTGCATTTGTGATCTCTAGATAATAAAAATGTATTGCATTGAAATGAATGCACTATTGCAGAAATAACTTTCTGGTGGGAGTGGATTAGGAGTTCATTTTTAATTAATATTAAGATGAATTTAGTATTTTTTGATGTGTTCTGTTATTGAAAATAGACTTAATAATAGCAATAAACTCCAATGAAATATAATTAAGGGAAAAATAAGGCTTTAAAAAAGATATGTTTCATTAATAACACACTTTGTGCTTTACAGCTTGACAATGAGAAAAGAAAGAAATTCATTTTTATTTACATTATGAAATAATATTTTGATCGACAAAAAATATATGTATTTAAGTTTTTAGTTAAAGAATTATTAACCATCAGCGACAATATGTTAATAACAGCAACACTATTAATTGCTTCGGAGAGTGTCGCCAGCTTTGGAGAAAGGAAAAATAAATTTCCACTTCTAAAAATTGAATTAGGCGGGGAGGATCACATCCGGTAATTCAAATACATTTCTTACTTGTGTTTCTTTCTGTTACGTTTAAGCCTTTCAAAATGATATATTTCTTTACCTATCTGTCTAACTATATCTATATCTGTCTATCTCTATACAAACATGCACAAAACTTCTGTAATATTTAAATTTCTATTTTAAAGCATTTGTGTATACTTTTGCCAATTTTCAAAATGTTTATTGATTTTGTTTCCAAAATGTCTTAAAAATTTTACTGCTGAGACTGCATGTTATGTCCGAAAAAAGGGACCTTTTGCCAGTTAGATTAAAGATCAAAGTTGGAACAGTTTAAAATATCAGTTTCGCAGATTAAAAGTAATTTAAATTAACTTTTGAAATGATACGTATTGAGCTATTTTGGAGACTGTTTCAAGTGTACCGTAATTATTACAATTATTTTTGTAAAGCAGTCTTAAAAAATATAATACTTAATACATTTTTCTATTAATTTTCGTATATAAAAGCGCAAAAGAAATGATACTTCAAGTTTTCTTGATATCTGCAATTTTGACAATATCAGAAAGTAATACTATGCAATCCTGTACAATTTGACTATGAAAATTTTAAATCCTGAAAATTCTAGATGTTTCTTCTGAGTCACTTATTACATTCAATATGGAGATCCCCAATTTAAAAATAAGCTTTTATTTGGAAATATTAATAGTTATTACTTTTTATATCAATTTTAAAGTTCAAATTTTTTCTCCTTTTGCTAGTGATTTCTATTTTTGTTCCATTTCTTGAAATTAGATTTTATTTGTGTCTCTATACTTTTACTCTTCGTTAATTGCTTGCATTTAACTTAAAATTGTTTATTTTTTAATAATAATCAAACTTCATCGACAGGTCAGGTATTTAATCTAATGTCGTCTTTTATTAACTGATTCATAGAGAGGTTTATGTGATGTGTTAATACTGAAGAAAAGAAAAGCATTTTGCAAAGAAAAAAGCCTTCAGAGTGTTGATCTGGCTAAGCACTTATAAACAGTCTTTTCTTCGAATGACTTTTTTAAGTATTGTCTGAAGAGTCTTGATAAAAATTTATCGCGATAGGCATATAAGTAAAACTGCATCTTAAAATCTGGTTTTGAGTATTTTGCATCTTACCTGAAATATTAGTCTGCGACAAACATTTTTCAAGTAATTTTTCTATCATCACTTATAGGAAAATAAGCTTATATTTATATTATAAATTTTATTCAGTTTTCAATAAGATTTCTTTCCGCAACGAGCGACCAAAAGTGAAATTACTTTCCTTATACAGTCACTTACACAGGTTCAGTTAAACTTTCGATAAAGAATAGAAAGATAATTTAGTTTCGAAGGAAAAAAGTGACTCCCATCATGTTTATTAGTTTATTTGAAATTAACAATGATTAAATGTTTTAAGTAACATGATAAAAAGGATCGCGATTATTAAATACATTTTTTTAATATTTGAAACAGAATTACAGGGCTAAATTAATTCGTGAAACAATCTACGACCTGCCATTGGCAGAGTGGACGAGCTCAATGAAAACTGGTAGGTTAATCCGGGTTCGAAATTCAGCAAAAGAGCTAGCTGCAGGAGCATTTTTTTCAGTTTTCCTCATATACAGTTAAATAAAAGTCAATTTCCCCTAAAAAGGTCCATTCCAAAAACATCTCTCTTTTTAAGCAGAAGCCTTCATGTGCTTTGTAATAATCGACCGAAACACACATAAAATATTCGCCAGACAAAATTTGAACTTAGAAAATAATCTATGCAAAAAATATTGGATAGAATAAATCTAGAAGATATACTGAAAGTTTCTTTATTGTATTCCCAGAATTCTCAAAAGCGAATTTTGACAGTCGAATGGAAAACTTCGTCAGTGAGTCAGATTAGTGTTATATTTAAATAATTTATTAAATTAACTACGTAATATCTGCCATAAGCATCTACTTTTAAGCAAAGACATTCTTAAGAATATCTTAAAGAGATGGCCAACTAGGATTTTTATTCCTAAATGAACAGTTTATAATTTAGGAAATATGAAAACATTTGATTCTAAAAATTCTCAAGATCAGTTTGGCGCCCGTGTGGTTGCTGCGCCCAGTAACAGATGTTCCCCCTTGCTCCCCTCTAGCTACGTCGCTGTACCAATTCGTAGGAATTTCGGCCCAGGTGAAACTATCAGTGTTAAGCGGTCTGACCACTCGGCCGTTCTCAAAATATTATAAGAACTTTTATTAGAAAACAATATCACTTTAACTTGACGAAATGTAAGAGAAACCCAGATAAGTAACTAACTATAAAGCATAAAATAAACTGTGTTCGCTGGAAACATCGCGGAGAAACAAGGCAAGGTGAAAACGTCGTTGCACAAAATATCGTGTGAGGAAAAAATGCAAGAAGAAAAAATCGCAGCTCTAAAACACCGTAATACAAAACGTTGTCATCAAGCGGTTCAAAAAATTCTCAGTTTTAAAACATCTTTGTCGAAAATATCGTGGTAAAAAGAAAGTAAAGCACCTGCAAATCATCGCATGTCGGTAACATTACACACGAGTTTTCATGCTTTAAAAATTCGCATATTTGCAAAATGATTTGTGAGCGCATGAAGAAATGAGAAATATTTTTACTTCCTCTATTAAAAGCGTTTAATTAATAATCAAATTATTAAATTCTGTTACAAGTAGCATTAATTTCTGCTTGTTTTTAGTTTTTTAGTTTTTTAATGCTTTAATTCGGAAGTTTCCTGCTTAATTTTTCAGCAAAAATTGATTGGTTAGTTCAAAAATATAAAAATAGAACTATTCCTGATTCTTTCTTGCGCTCGCAAATCATTAGGAGAATATGCATTTACAAATTTTAAAGTCTGCTATGCTATCATCATGCAATGGTTTGTAGGTACTCTATTTTTTACCGTGATATTTTCGACGACGATGTTTTTAAACTACGAAATTTCTGAATCATTTTATTTTCGATGACTATGCTTTGTGCCACAATGTTTTATAACTACGAAGTTTTCTCCTTGCTTTCTTTTCTCCCACAATGTTTGTAAGACAATGTTTCCGCCTTGCGTTGTTTTCTCCACGTTATTTTCGTCTGCCATCTTTTGCCGCGGTATTTTCGTCTGTAACTAACTGGACTTTATTAGCTTGAGTGCTGTTGGCCCAGAAGAACATTTATTTCTTATCTAAATTGAACAATTTTTTCTTCGTGTTAATAAAAGGAAATGCATGTGGATAAATTTTTTTTTCAGGGATTTCGCCAAAAGTTATTATTATTCCATCTTGTGGAAAAAATTATATATAAGGACATTGCCTATTTTAGGTAATACTTTATTTTTATATTAATTCTTTTATTTAATTTCTGTTTCTTCCGCCAGCCTTCATTTTAAATTCAGTTTTAATTACGATATAGTCCTTCCAGTCTGAAAATTTATATCCTTCGTTCCCTTCCCCTTAATGGTCATCTTTGAAATAAATTAAAGTTGTAATCGTAAAGCGCTTACAACTTTAAGGCAATAAAGTTACTTATAATTTATTTCGATTAATACCGTATACTCGCGTAATAGTCGCACCACCGTTTTGAAGGAGATGAAATCGTCAAAAGTGTATAATATTGTGTAGTAGATTTCTCCGCGTAATAGTCGCACATAGACTTTCACAATGCCAAATTGGTAAAAAAATGTGCGACTATTACGCGAGTAAATACGGTACTTTAGGAACATTTAAGCCCTAAGGGACTTATATTTTACTTATTTTACGAATATAAATTTATGTTTATTTTCTTTTGCTTTTTTTTTTTTTTTTTAATTTCATCAAATGTTATTTTGTTTCCAGTTTCCTTAAATGTGTTCTTTAAAAATTACAATCATTATTTTGAATTTAGTTTCTTGTTCATAAATTCCAATTTCTCAAATTACAAATTAAACATATACGACTAACTGTGACTGATCTTGATTTTCGTAGGAAGAACGGTTTAGTTTCGAAAAGAAGTGACATTTTAATTTCGAAGAAAAAGGTTTTGCATTTAAAAGATTTCAAATCTCACAGTTTAAGCTGTAAAGTATTTTCTGGAGATAAAACTTAATTTTTTGAAAATATTTACATCTGCGCGTCATTTTATTAGCTTAGAAAAAAGAGCTGC